GAGGGCGGCGAGATGTGGGTCTTCTACCTGATATCGCTGCCCCTGACGCTGGGCATGGTCGTCGTCACGCTGCGCTACTTCGCCGGCCCGGGCGTGCCGCGCTACGTCCAAGCCACCGTCGGCTACGCCTGGTTCTGCTCCCTCTCCGTCATCATCCTCGTCCCCGCCGACATCTGGACGGTCAGATCTCTCGTCCCTCTGCATCGCCCGGCCCCTCGATTACGATCCTCGTAGTTGCTCGTGATCCCCCCTGGTTTCGGTGTCGGTGCCTCGGCGCGCTGAGATCCGCCCCGGGCTGAGCTAATTCCGTGCTCTGGTTTTGCGCCAATTAGGGTGAATTGGGGTATTAGGACATAAATTTTGATGGGAAGCTGTTAGTGCGTGGAGTTTCGGGTGCTTGAGGGGAGAATGCTTGGCGAATCGTACATTTGAGTTGCTGCTTCTGGTCCCGGAATGAGGTCTAGGTGACAGGGTATTAGGACATCTGTTTGTTACTCCCTCTTATATTTCTTTACGGAGGGAGCACTAATTATTTAGTTCATAGTTCTAAGAAATGCAGCATAAACAACATGGCCGAGCTAAATTGGCATCATATGTTGAGTGTATGGTCTGCTCTCTGCTTGACTCCAATTAGCTTCTGAGAAGTCTCTCTCTGCACTATTTTACCCACTGTGAATAATTTCCATAGCAATGTTCTATTGTCTTGCCTTGGCCCCCTTCGATAAACTTTTCCTGCTGTTTGTGTTGGTACTTGCCGATTAAGTCATCAGTCCACACATGACATTCACGGATTCACCATTATTTAGATTCATAGGAATGTATAGGACACAAGGTGGAAAAAAATTGTCCTGTCTAGTTGACGGCTTACATGACTTTAGGAACGGAGCACACAGCTGCAACAAGCAGCAACTGTCAGCTCTAGGGAACAAAGAACGAAACGATGAGATGGAATGTTAACCAGGCATCAAAATCACACACTTATTCAGATTACATAGTCCAGCTTCACATGTGTCTTCAGTCTGAATGAATGCTATAGAAGAAGTATAGCTGCAAACAGTCCGAGCATGGACTTGGTTACCTCCACAAAGCATAGAGATCAGGTGCAGGCAAAGTGTCTATAAAGAAGGTTTAATATTTTGCTAGAAAGAATCCTAGGTCAGCTACATTAGCATGCCTTGAATATTTTGTAGATACATCATACATGCTCCACTGATGCCATGCTTATTAGGGTATGGGCCACTCCCTCCCTCTACTGCTTCACATACATGTTGGTGTATTCATCTGTAGGAGCAAAGCCGTGCCCAAATGGAACAATCCTGTCCTCTTTATTTAAATGGTTTTAAGCACAAGCGAACAAATGTTAAAAAGTTAAAAAGAGAATATGTCAACATATACATAAGCATACTAGTAAGGTACACGTGCATTGCACGCATGAGATTTGGCAACCAAATTATGAATAAATACCACACTATAGAATGTATGCTTTGTGTCATATATGCATGATGTAGATGTTCGTTTAATTCTTATAGTTCATCTCATTCAAAATCAATTAGTTTTTGTAAAAAAATTAATCTATTTTAAGATTCATGGAATTGTGCGTCGTAAAGCATAAAGTAAAAACAAATAATGGCAATTCATCTAAAAAAGATTTGGGCAATTATGATACGGAAGATTCTAGAACAAAGGAGAAGTGCTTATGTTTTGAGATTTGTGCATTATGCTTAAGTTCAACCATGGAGTCTTTTAGATTGTACATGCGGCAGAATCTGGTGGAATGTAGATGATATCCAACGGCAAGTAGTGCTTGGATTTGCCATCTCTGCACCGTTGGATTGACTTCATTCAACGACCATCTTTTAAAGTTATTCACACGCTATATAGAGGTATAGATAAATAGTGCAGGCCCTTTATGGCAAACTTTATCCTTGCACTATGCTGGCAAATGATCTTCATTTACTTATTCGGTCTAAACTCTTACATCACCTCACTTGCAGACATTAACTGGCTTTGATAAAGGTGGAATTGGCTTCTTTTGGGGCTGGTCTTATTGGAGCACATTTATCCTAACATGGTATGAAACTATCATCATCAACATGTCTTCCATTGCTTTCTGCCATGGTTAACATTCCTGATTGTCAGTGGCATCTAGGACTGACTACTGTTGGTGCACATGCCCTAGCATAATAAATGTTTCTTACAGTAAAATGTCAGCTTTACTTTCCAAATTCAATTTTTTTTGGATCCTGCTTCATCAGTCCCCAGATCAGTGATTTAGCAATGTATTATTTGCATATCAATGCAACTGTTTCAGCTTCAGCTGAACTTGTTAGGCCTGTGCTTGAAAAAAAAAAGGTTTGTAAATGGCAAAATACTGGAAAATTCATCCCCTCTCTTATGTGCCTGACACTTTCTTACTGTTTGGTTTCAAGGTATTTAAGGTTTTGATGTTACTATAAGGTTGCTTACTTGCTCACTCTCTTTCTAGTAGAACAGATGATAACCTAGTTCTTTTCAGCTTTTCAGGGTACTACTTTATTTACCAATTCATATATTAATTTCTCATGGGATGCAGTAAATTTTATCCTTGTCATTTTCATTGGCACTTTCATCGCTAACACAAGGCTTGTTTCTATGTCCCTAAACAGGGCTGTAGTTCCTACTATTCAAGGCTATGAAGATGCTGGAGATTTCACTGTTAGAGAAAGGCTAAAAACTAGTATTCACATGAACCTGCTCTTTTATTCAATTGTGGTAGCTATTGGCCTCTTTGGACTCATACTGCTTTTAGTCATGCATCGAGCTTGGTATGTTTTAATCTCCACTTGAGCTTCCATGCTCCATGAGTCACCTGATATGTGAATAACCCTGTGTACTATCTTGGTATTTTTTTACATTTTAGTTAAGTTATTTCAGCTCTTTCTTTATGGCTGTCGTTCAATAACTTATGGAATATTTTACAGAAACATTTTTGATATTTCCGTATTGAACAAGCTACATGTTTAGGATAGTCAGCTTTGATTGGTAAAGAAACATGATGTGATCATTACTACTGCAAAATACTACTTCCATTGGCCATTGCACTAATCCTTTGTGTTGCCTTGAGTTCTGCCAAACTAGTTTTATCAAAATGGCCGCCATTTGAGCAGTCCATTTAGTCTTGACTCTTGACCTGAAGTAAATATTTTTGACAGGGATGGAGGTCTTGTGGGCTTTTTAATGGCTTGCTCAAATACCTTTGGACTGGTGACTGGTGCTTTTCTTCTTGGTTTTGGATTGAGTGAAATTCCAAGAAACATTTGGAAAAACGCAGACTGGACTCACCGCCAAAAAGTACTTTCTCATAGAGTTGCCAAGATGGCCGTAAAGCTTGATAATGCTCATCAAGACTATTCAAATGCAATTGTTGTAAGTACATTTAAATCCTTAATAGTATCTGTACTCGTTGCCAACTTGCCATTTGCTGAAGTATTGTTCCTTTTCCAGGTTGCTCAAGCCACTTCAAATCAAATGTCAAAGCGAGATCTCTTAAGACCTTATATGGATATTATTGACCGAATGGTTGCTCAAATGGTACCAAAGCAATTATTAGTACTATTTGCAGTTGAATTTAAAACACTGCGATTAAAGATGGTAACTTGTGATTGTATGTACATTTCAGCTGCGAGATGACCCATCTTTTAAGCCTTCTGGTGGCAGATTAGGCGAAAATGATATGGACTATGATACAGATGATAAAACAATGGCCACTCTCCGACGTCAGCTTAGGATGGCCCATGAGGAGTACTATCGGTGTAAAAGGTATTGTGGAATAAACCAACCAGGAATAGTATTACTCTTTGTGTATCTCTTAGTAATATCTGGTACTCCCTCTGTAAATAAATATAAGAGCGATTAGATCACTAGAACGCTCTTATATTTCTTTACGGAGGGAGTACATAACTAATGCAGTTTGTTTGTATGGAAACTGGAAGGGTAATAATAAGGGCAACCTAAGGTTTCCTAAGTTGGCAAAATTCTTGAGTTAGTTAAGTATGCTGAGTTAGGCGGGTGTTTAGCTGGGCCCGAAGCGTCATAAATTCCAGATGTGTGGCAAGATTTCTGTAGGCATGCCAAAGTGTGGTACTTGGAATTCTAGTTTGTAGAGAAATAACGTTCGTGGTTTTCTGCTGTCCCTTTTTAACTGATAATATTGACTTTAATTTTTGTTATTGTACAGTGAATATATGACTTATGTCATGGAAGCTCTTGATCTAGAGGACACTATTAAAAATTATGAACATCGTGATGCAAATGGATGGTGAGTTTGTTAATTCTTTGGTTAAATGTTATCTCCAGAGTATTTTAATCTTGACAAAATAGCCTTACAATTTCAATAAACTTTTCTATAGGTACTGTAATGCATCTTTTTTGCCTCACTCAATTATATTTCATGATATTGTATGTTGGCGAACCTTTTCTTGTTGTAATGCTGTACAAAGCTACAATAACTTGACAGTTCTGTTAAATAAATGATGTCAAGTGCTATGCCATATCATTATGATGGAGGTTTTATTAACCTGGTTAAACAGAAAACAGATAAAACTGTGTACAAACAGGATTGTTGATAGTTCCACAAATGGCTTGATTAGTATGTTAGCATATATATGCGTGATGTGTGGTACTGGCCAAGAATAGTTGATTGGTGGGCTGAATAATCTCAATTGCCATTATGGATGTGTGTGCATGTCAACACGAGCTATAAAATATGCCTCAGTAATTTGTTTGCAAAACCTTGATTAATATGTACTGCAAACTTGTTATACTCGTCTGAAACCTTGTGATGTATCCAACCACAACCATTATTGATTTAGTTTCTTTTTGTCTAAACAGGAAATATGTATCGAGTTTTAGGGAGAGTCGGTCAGGCACACTGGGATCCCTTTTGGACACTATGGGTAATCCTTCTGACCTTTACCAACTATATTTATTAGTTTTTGTCTTTATCTATTACTCAGTGAGAATGGCTTAACATCAGTTTCTAGACGAAACAGTCTAAATTCCAGGCCCACATATTATTCTTAGTACGTTTGAGTTACTGCCTTATGGCTTGCTCAATAATTGATGGAACTGACTCAGTGATACTTTCTTGCATTATCAGAGTTCATTTGGCGTTGTATACTGAGAAAGCAGCTTCAGAAAGCACTGGCTGTTATTCTCGGCTGCATGTCAGCTGCTATACTGTTGGCTGAAGCTACTTTGCTGCCAGGTGGTGTTGATTTATCACTTTTTTCCATTCTTGTAAAATCCGTCGGAAAGCAGGAGGTTCTAGTCCAGGTAAGAAATTGCGTGCTTCATTAAAAACTAAAATAAGTGTATCACATGTTCAGTTTACAGGGAAGTTTTGTTACTTATGGGCTCTTGCTTTCTGCAATGTGTACTATATTGTGTTATTGGTGATAGCTTTGTAGTTTGTTTGCACACCAATCATGTGCATCCGTCATCCATTTGTTATTTAAACACATGCAGACGTACAAGTCACTATAGTTATTTCTAGGTGACTCAGTATATCAGGCCTTGCTATTCTTTACTCGGTTGACATTAGTTATATTTTATGCAGTATAAAATTTATATCTTAGTCAATGGAATGCCCTTGTCTGGGTCACCTAGCTGTACATTCATTGTGTAGCGTCAGCCTTATTCTGCCTGATCTTACATACTTCCTATTTGTTTACAGGTTGCTGCATTTGTCCCTTTGATGTATATGTGTATATGCACATACTATTCGCTATTTCAGATTGGGATGTTAATGTTTTATTCTCTGACTCCACGGCAAACAAGTTCTGTCAGTTTGCTTATGATCTGTTCGTAAGTTCATACTGTTCTGCTTTTTTATGTTTTGTGTGCTTCCTGTCCAATTCGTTCAACTCATTCTGGGCTGTGCACCGAATGCTATTTTGCAGGATGGTTGCAAGATATGCACCTCCCATTTCTTATAATTTCCTGAATCTCATTCGCCTTGGTGGTAATGTTAAAACTACTTTTGAGAAGGTAATAGTTGGACAGTTTCTTCGTGTTATTTATGCTATGTGCTTCTGTTTTGTGAGGATAATAAAGTTGACACTTGAAGATGGAATGCTTCCCAGTTTTTCAGTTTTGTTACACTGCTTATTGTTCACCAGATAAATAACACCTAGTTTATCTCTAAACGGACCATATGTTGGCATGTTGCAGAGAATGGGGAACATAGATGACGCAGTTCCTTTCTTTGGAAGACGCTTCAACAGGATCTACCCACTAATTATGGTTGTTTATACACTACTTGTTGCTAGTAACTTCTTTGGACGTGTGATTGACTATTTTGGAAGCTGGAAAATGTTTAAGTTCCAGCGTGAAGAAGAACATATGGATGGTTTTGATCCGTCTGGAATTATTATTCTGCAAAAAGGTTAGGACTGATTTGTGTGTGGGCATATCCTTCATTCTCTTTAGTATATCAGCATAGATTTTTCTATGGGGTATCTTTCATTTCTCGGTAGTGTATTGTTGTGTTCTTTTGTTTGCTTCTTTAGCTGCTTGTCCCTTCAGCTTTCACAGTTCCGCATGGATTTCAGTTCTCTTGTTTCTGCAAATGAAAGCATGTGTGATGCTATTGCGAATGAACATATTGGGCTATCTGGCTTACAATAGGAATCTGATGATTAAACTGATCATTATCATAGAATCTTTTGTATATTCATTGCAAATTGTGGTGGAATGCTGCCTTTGTTATTTTCGAAAACATGTTCCGCCTAAGCAAAGTTTACTTTCTTTGCAGAGAGATCTTGGATTGAGCAAGGATATAAAGTTGGCGAGCAGGTTATTCCATTGGCAAGATTCAATGGCGCGAGCACAGATGTTGAATCTGGAAAGGTACCATTGATGTTGTAGCATAATTACCATATTTTCCCAATCTTATTAGTTATATGTCTTTGTTCTTTTGAAAGGTTTAGTCTTTTTATCTCCTTATTATGTCATACACAGATTGAAGATGCAGTGGAGATGAAAGCGGGGACAACTTCTTCGAGAGTTGATGGAAGAGCCGGTCAATCTAAATATATTCACAACAGGGAAATGATTTCCAACAAGTATTCATCTGTTAGAGATCAGAGTCGGCAGGCAACAAAGCCAGTGAAAAAGGAAACTGTGTCGACATCTGCATCTCTGCTTGAAGAAGGGAATTCTGAAAATCGCTCGGCTGCTGGAATCTCCCAAACATGGGCTTCAGTGAAGAATGGTTTTCAGAACTTCAAAGCGAATATGGGTGCCAAGAAGTTCACTCCTTTGCGCCAGGATCCAGGATTTGCTCCTCATTCGAACGCCTCTTCACCCGAATCTCTCGATGACATCTTCCAAAGGATAAAACGGCGCACTTCAGAATCGCCCGTAGATTACCTCGACGACGACGACGACGACAACGATGACAATACAGGAGACATGGATCCTCCGTTTGCAGGATCGAGAAGATAGGCAGTGGCTTTTCCCTTAGAAGTCAGAACATTAAAATCTGCGAATCAAAAGGATTTGGTACCATTAGATGCAGCATAGAAGATACAGGATGTATAGATCAGATGATGGTTTTGGTGTGCTTCGAGGAAGCTCAAGAGGCGCCCTTGTCCATCTGGAAAGGTGCAGACGTGAACGAAAGCATATGACATGATGACACAGGCCCTGCAGAAAGGACAGCGAATTCTCCCAACAAGAGATCATGGGAGCGTGACCGTATCACACTTTTCTGCTTTACACACATTGCGGGAGTAGGCACTGCTGACGTGTTATTTTTACTTGTTATTAGATGCTGAATCTGTATTGGAGATAACCGATTCATACTCGAAGCTGACGAGTGTAGGCTGTAAAGGTGGTATGCATTATATGATGTGCGTTGAAAACATGCGGCCGATCTAATGAATTAAATGGAAAATATGAAATGCACAAGCCTCTTCTGTGGGCGAACATTTGATTTTATTATTTTGTCTAAGCTATGGTAGAAACTGATGAAAATCAAGTTGATGTCAATTTTTTTTTGATGAAAACCAAGTAAAATTGTTGTCTCAAAGTTAGAAAATAAAATACACTAGAATACAGTATGATGGGAAGGTTATGGTCTGCAAATAGCTAAAATTTCAAGGTCAAAATCAATTTCAGCTGGAAGGTATGAACAAATAAATTAAATCAACAACGTGTATATGATTTCCTATTACCTTAAGATGAATACTAGTCCAAACTTCAAGATCGATATGTGTATATCACATCACCTTTCTAACATAAATTTAAATTTGAGAGTTTTGGCGAACTTTAAACGTGATTTCCATGCACCTTGGTTTCTACATGATACTTTCTCCTAAACTTCTCTAAAAAAAAGATTTAGATTTTGGTCTCCGCATCGTACGCGTGTGTACATATATGCGAGGGGG